GCACAAATAAGTAATAGCTGCATTTTCCATACATGTAAAAGGGGTTTAATGGGGCCCCCAGGAACTTGGGGCCCTAGGCAACTGCCTGGTTTAGCCTAATGGTAAATCTGCCATTGCTGGAAGCCTTCTGGCTGCTGTTGATCCTCATGGTGGCTTCACTGAACTCAGGTCTGCTTGTCCTTTAAGTTCAGCAGATATCATCTCATCATGGCAGAAAGTGCGGACGTGGAGCAGCTCCTTACGGCCTTCAGGAAGTTCTCTGTTTACGGAGACCCAAAGGCAACCGGAAAGGAGCTGACTGGGAAGACCTGGGTAAAGCTGTGCAAAGACTGCAAGATCATCGACGGCAAGAACGTCACCAGTACGGATGTGGACATTGTCTTCTCTAAAGTCAAGTGAGTCTGCGTCTCTCATCTACATCAGTTCCTTCTCACTGGAGTCAGAACTTTTAGGTCCAAAAGCAGTTTTTATTCCAGAACATATTTCACTAAATATTTGGATTTAATCTGATTATTCATAGAGTAGCACTCAGACGTTTTCATGCATTTTATTTCCACCATGGAGGCGTTCTTTCTGGCAGAGTGTTATCTGGAGGATCTTGACAAAAAAAGGTCCAAGGCTGAAAGTGTTCAAGTGACAGATGAAGGTTTTTGGTGAGAAGCTCTGCAGCTTGAACTTGATTTTTCAGACAGAGGACGGCTCGGGTCATCACCTATGAGGAGTTCCAGCGAGCTCTGGAAGAACTTGCTCCAAAGAGGTTTAAAGGTCAAGCTAAAGAGGAGGCGCTGCAGTCCATTTACAAGCTTGTGGAGGGTCAAGAACCAACCAGTGTTGGAGTGACGGTAAGCCTTCTGATGTAGACCATCATGAAGATGTTTCCTGCTCTTTTTAAATCACTAAACTCTGGATTGATTTCCATTCACTCCTAAGTTACAGACTAAAAAAGATTAAGAACTCTACTTTGGTCAATAATGATCGGGTCCTAAACCAGCATCAGCAATCGATGAAGAGCAAACATGATCTGAAGTTCTTCCACTTTCAGACTGAATGCATTTTAGGTTTAAAGCAGAGCGTTGGGGTTAGGTGACGTTCTCACAGAAGCTTACAGAATATTCAACATGTAGTTTAAAAATTCCAGTCTGACTTTTTAAGATTTGTTTTTGGCAGTGGTGTCCTCCTTCGTCATCTCCCGTTACAGTCGTAGCCATTCCAAATTTCCCCACTTTCCTTGATGGGTCCTAAGCTGGTCCTTAGCTGGTCCTAAGCTGGTCCTAAGTTGATCCTAGGCTGGTCCT